TTTCAATTTTATTTCGTTTAAAAACGAATGAAAAGAGATGGAATGAACATATAAGAAATTTCACATTTACATAAACAAATGTAAAACAACATATCATCCGAGATCATAAAATGTCCGTGTGAGTCTTATCGGGGGATCCCGTGAGATCAAAGTACGCCATAGCTGCATTCTGGATTCAAGAGGTACTTCCCAACCAATAACACTACTATCACAATTGTGATGTCAAATGGGGTGAATAGGTGGAATCGGAAAATCACCCTACAGATTGAGTCGAATGAAGTGCTGGTAGGGCTCAAGGTGGCAAATAACTATCTAGAACTCTGGTCTTATTGCCCCGCCCCGTGCGATCAGTGGTAGCACAGTCCATCATGGTAGTACACAACAGTATTGAAATATGTAGCAATGGGATAAAAGTCCTCTGTCGACATCCTGTGACCATCGGTTGTACTAGTCCACCGTATACACTCTAGGCTTTCAGGTAATTTATCTCACATACAAAGACGAGTAAAGGAAAGTATAAAACAACATTGATGCAAGTGTATTAAAACCGCTCACAAAATAAAACAAGTCATACCCGTAAAGTTTTCTGTACAGCCCAGGGTTATTTAAAACCTCATCATACACTATCTGTCTGCACAAAACATGATTATTCTGCCCTCCCAACATGCAACTCGCAATGACATGAAAACCACAATTGCCGTCCGGAGCGACATCAAGATATGACTGAACATGATTGTGGAGTATCTGCGGAATCTTATTCTTATGCATAAACTTGGCAAAGTCTGTCTGCATCACATCTTTAACCAAGTAAAATAATATCATTATTTCTGGATTACATATCAGAATTTAATAAAAATATAAACTATAATCGTACCTCTGCCATTGGGTTCAGATTCCGACGTATGGCCTCTACTGAAACTGCTGGTGTTCATCCCACCTAGCCCAGTCCATGTACCTGCGCTCGCATGCCATGAAACAAAAATATAAGAATGAAATGATAATAATATTTGACATATTTAAAAGGATAAATTAATATCGGACCTCTGGTAAGATCTTCAGCTCTCGACGTCTGGCCTCTACTGGAACTGTGGGTGTTCGTCCCACCTTGACCCAAGGTACTTTGGCTGGTACCTACTTTACTGGAACCGCTGGTATTGGTCCCACCCTGACTGCCTTCCCTGTATGCCCACACATTTGGTTTTTTTTGCTTTCCTTTTGAGATGCCTCCTTTCTTCAGCCTGCCCTTGCCTCTCTTTCCAACCCGCAGTTATTTCGATCCAGCATGGCCCGGGAGAAGTTTATTGTACATCAATCTAGTGATCTCGCGTTGTATTAGCTCCTCAGCAGCATCCAATTCTTCCACTAACTGCCTGAACAACAATATGTGAGGGGAAATATCATCCGAACTATCCTTCTCTGTAACCTCACCGATGTCAAGTGTGCTCCAAAATTGGTGCAAGTATTTTGGAGTCAAAATCTCGTTGTCCTCCATTATACGCTTCAGAATACATGCACAAGGGATCGAATGAGTTCGCTTCAGGTAATGATTGCATTCTCAAAACACATCATCTCCGAGTTGATGTGCCCTTTCCAACTCATTGTTCAAAAGATCCAAGCAGTAGTGTAAAACGTTGCATCTTAATTAGTAAAAAGGGTGCTTGTTGTGTTGCCTCCCTATTTTCTGCCTTGATTCTTGCAATTTCTCCCTGTGGAGGAATTAAAACAAATTATTTAAATAAACTAAACACACAATATATATTATAACCATATTTTAGAATGTAAAGTCGAAATCCAGTATCTTATTTATGTAAGCTGTGTCTCGACTAAAATGTGAACCCTGTGTCAGACCGTTTCAAAAGAAGCATTTGTTGTGCCGAGCCATTCCTTTAACAACTTGTATGCGCTCTACACTCTACAAGTAGTGTTGGTCCATGCATGCACAAACTTATCTGCCACCACTAACCATATCTTCCTGACATACTCTAGAACGGGTTGACATTGAGACCAATTATTCTCCAGAAACTTCACTTTTTCTTCGTAATCTTCCCGATTTGCAGCTTTGATCACTATTTTAAAGGCCTTGTACGCGAAACTCTTTGCTATGTTCGAATTTCCGTTCAAAATTCTTTTCACATTTTTTTCAACATCCCTGTAAACGTGCCACGTACACAACAAGTGATGTGATGTTGGAAATACATCATCAAGAGGCCTCATCAGTCCAGGTTCCCAATCAGTCACGATGACACTCGGATGCAGATCATCGCCAAACAAGTTACGGAGCTGCCACAACGCCCAATAGTAGTTGTCCCCCGTCTTATCACTCAGAAGAGCATATGCTATAAGGTCTGATTGCAAGGGGTCATTCTAACAAACTCCACAAGAGGCATTTTATATTTGTTTGTGTTGTATGTGGAATCTACACAAAAAGCCCAATGATACATCCGCAACAGCAACAAAGAATCCGGATTAGCAAAAAACATGCGGGATAACCTCTGTGTCTCTTCATCGCACTCCGTGAAGATGATGTATTTATGTTGTTCTGCGACCTCTAACACCTTTCCCACGACGTCCATGGAAGCCATGTCATCTAGAATTGGAAACCCCTCCTTACACAATTGATTTCTGTAGTTGTAGACTTGTTTGGAGGTAATCTTTTCATCAGAAAATTGTGTTCATATCGCCCGTAAAATGTGGACTACCTTAGTCCCAGCTTTAGACTACTCCTGAATAAGCTCTTTCACTTTTGCACTCAGTGGCCTCCTGACTCAAGGCGGATCTTTCAATGAGTGGTTGTGCATTCCACACGGACCGACATATACATGGATCGCCCACCTATCATATATTTTGTAAATAGTAACCCGAAACAGGCATCCGATCATCTGTGTCTTTGTATTGAGTCGAGCGCGCACGTTTTCACCTAACTGTTGATCTTGGTACCGGCCTCCTTTATGACAAAGGAGTATAATATTATTGTCCTTGTGCGATGATACACTTAACTCCATGTTGTAGATATTCGCAATATCCTTCGCATATGCAATAGCTTCAGGCTTCGTGGCAAAAGTCTCGTCTGTAGCAAAAGCGAACTATAATCTTGCCCATCCCCCTAATCAAACCTATCCTGCACACATTGAAAATAAATTATATCATAACTTAAATTAATTCTAATAATCTTAAACCACAAATAATTTATTATAAGCAAAAACAAAATATATAATCCGATATAATGATTTTATACTTTAAAGATAATTAATATATACTAATAACAAACTAAATACATTATTAACAAAAATTCATTATTTTAACAAAAACCCTAAACCCTAACACCTAAACTCTAAACCCATTAACATACTACCTAAACACCCATTTAACAAGAAACAAACTATTTCATACGAACATACTATGTAATTAACATAATTTAAACATATAACAATCTAAACACATAATTAACAAAAAATTAACTCATTTAATATAACAACTACAACCTATGAACAAAATACATAATTGAAAAATATTCTCTAAATATTTAAGTTTAATATTTTTTATAAACCAATATCATAAACCCTAATTATTAAGATAGATAATCCATTTAACTAAACTAATTAACATAAATTTTCTAAACAAATATTAAACTACCAAACAAATACTCAAATAAAATAAATTAATTAATAAAATACATAAATGAATTAAATAAATTTATTAAACTAATAATTTAAATAAATAAATGATGTTAATTAAATATATTAAAAAATAAAAAAACTGATTAAATTAAAAAAAAAGGGGTGGCGCCTGTTTGGGTGCCACCCATCGGTTTGCTCGCCAACCCGGACAAAGATGGCGCCAAATCTGGCTCCACCTCCTTCGCCTAAGGCGAAGGTTGTCTCGCCTCCCTTTACAGGAGGCGAGTTTATTCCATGCCATGCCCACCCCTATGAGGGGTGGCGTGTTTCTCCTGCGCCATTCGTTAACGGCTGGCATATTTATCCCTCGCCCTCCCCCCTTGTTTTAAAAAAAAAATACTTTCATGTGTAGAGGCGTATCCGTCTTTCGGAGGACACTCAAATTAGAAAATAAGGGCGCTCAACAATTCCACCCAAAAAAAATGGTCTCATACATTGGGAAAATTACTTATATATATCTCAAAAAATTTTAGAAGAACAAAATAGATTTAGGGTTTCAATTGTCGCCAAAACTGATTCTTTTGCGCTTCAAACACGCGAATATTGGCAAAATTGCGTTTGAAAAAGTTAAAAGAAAATTTTCGCGTTTCAGAAACACTAAAAACAAGATATACGAATTAATTTAACTTAATCATAATTAATTAATGGTAAAAAAATTGATTAAATCCACTTTTGCGTTTTTAAAGTGCTAAAAAAATAAAAAAAGAATATTTTATTTAAATAAAAAAAGGAAATAGTCACAAAAATTTGATTAATTTGCCTAGTTTAAAAATTTGTAGAGAAATTTACTTCAAAAAATTATTAAATTTTAATAATGAAAATTTTGAATGGAGCTATAAAGAGGAAAATTATTAATAGGAAAATTATATTGATAATTTTAATAATAGAAAAATTAAATTTTGAATATGAATATAATATTATAATTGATACTCGTTAAATTAAATAGAGCTATACTAAATATAAATTATCAAAAGTATGAAATAATTATTATAATTTATTAAATTTTTAAAAAATTATATTAAAAATTTAATCATTATTTTATAAAATAATTTTATGTGAAAAATATTGAATAATGATAAATGACGTAATTTTATGGATTTATATTAATTAGATGTAATTTAATTTACAAATTGTTTATATTAATTATGACGGTTTCAATATAAGAAAAACACTTAAAATATGAATAAATTTTAAGAAATGTTTATTATAATTTACCAACGCTTAAGATGAAGCAACTATTTTCTCTTCTTCGGAAACCTCACAGGGGAGACAGCAAAAATTTCGAAGCGAGGATGCGGAGGATCGGCAGGTAACAAGTTGAGGATGTCTTTAAGTCTTCCAGTGGCTGCGACGGTGAATTGCGCCGACAACACCAGGGTAAAGAACCTCTACATCATTTCTGTGAAGGGAATTAAGGGTAGGCTCAACCGTCTCCCTTCTGCTTGCGTCGATGACACGGTTATAGCCACATCCAAGAAGGTCATGACCGATCACAGGAAGAAGATCATGCCCGCAGTCATTGTCCGCCAGCGCAAGCCATGGCGCCGAAAGGACGGTGTCTACATGTACTTTGAATATTATGCTGGAGTGATTGTTAATCCCAAGGGAGAAATGAAAGGTTCTGCAATCAGTGGTCCCATTGAAAAGGAGTGTGATGATCTTTGGCCTAGGATTACAAGTGCTGCCAATGCCATTGTTTAATGCACCGCATCTTAATTTTGAAGAGAACTATAGTTTACTGAATGTTTGTTTTAGATATCTGGTACTATCCTTTTGTGGATGTGGTAATTTTAATAGACGATTGGTATGTAAGAGCTATGAATTACATCTTTTGTTTGGATAAACTAAATATTTTGTTGTTTGTTAAAAAAAAAAGATGAAGCAACTATTAATTATTAAAAAAATAAAATATAGTTTGAAATAAAATAAAACTTTTGTTTTTAGATTTGATCGGCGAAGGTGTGTTTGATAAATATTAATAAAGTAGCAACGATGCAGGTGAAATCATTGTTTAAGAATATTAATACAAGTCATACCAAAATACTACAAGTCATACCAAAAGGAAAAAAAAAAAAGTCATAACAAAAGGAAAAAAAAAAAAAACAAGTCATAACAAAAGGAAAAAAAATTTAAAAAAAAATACAAGTCTAATAATACTACTCCCTCCGTCCCATAATTATTGTCCACTTTGCTCAAAAAATTTTGTCCCAAAATTATTGTCCAATTTGACTTTTTATGGATCAAGTTACACATTTGTCCTTAGTAAAAAACATTATCCATAAAATCTTAGTGGTTAAACAATTACTTATGTAGAGGTATATACGGTTGTTTAAGGTAAAATATAATTAAGTTTGACCAAAAATAAAATCTTTCATTTTAGTAAAACTGGACAATAATTATGGGACGGAGGGAGTACATAAAAAGTCTAGTACCCTACTTCTTCTTGGACTTTCTAGCACGAAAATGGCTATAAGTCAATCTATCGGGCTCCTGTGTCACTCTCTGGCCTTTACTTACAGCCAACGGTGGAGTCTCTAGAGTCTGACTCGATCCCTGCTCCTCATGGCGCTGATAACCCTGACCCTCAAACTGATCCTGCTGGTCTGCATCCTCAGCCTCATCCTCATCCTCATCTTCACCCTGACTCTCACGCTCACCTCCAGCTGGGTCATCAGCCTGATGCTGACCCGCAACATCCTCGAATATCTTCTAAAGAAAGTTACTCGTGTAATGTAACGACTAGCCATCTAGAGAACTTTGCTGGAACTCAGAAAAGTCAATAAAAGAATTTCCAAACTGAGGCTGAGAAGTTTGAGGGGAGAAAAACTGAGTGAAGGCAAAATGGGATTGCTGGTGCTGGGGAGACATAATGGGACGGTAAAATGCATGTTGGGTCGGCGAAGAATAATGTGGAGAATGATGTGGAGACTGATGGGATGAATGTTGTAGAGAATGATGTGGAGACTGATGTGGAGACTGATGGGATGAACCGTCAGTGAAGGGGATATGAGACTGCTGATGCCGGGAGGACTGATGTGGCTGAGTAGGCGTGATTGTCTTGCCTCCCACGCCCACGCTGAGACCTGCGCGAACGCCTCGGAGGTCTGGGAGGTGGATATTGATGGGTCGGGTCTACAGGACCAAGTTCCTGACTCAAAATATCATTAACCTCAACCTGCCTCTCTAGTTCGTGATGTACAATATTTATTGCATTGACGGACAACGCCTGCTCAGCAACCGAGGCAATCTCGCCTAACTGATCATAACCAAAGGAATCCTTGTCGAAAGTATGCTGGCCTATAATACTAAGACTGCGATCGTCCTCCATCAAAGTGGCCTGAAATTTTTGTTAGAAAGAATCGTAAATCGATAACAATGAAAATAAATTACATAATGGATTGTAAGCAAAAGAAATTGTACGAAAACTCACCATGAGGCGCAAGGTCTCTGCAGAGCCGTGAAAACCCCTCGTGTTTTCAGAGTCCATCGGATCCGTAACATACTTTATAATAACCTGATGGTACCACAAGAGATACTCTGAATCTGGTGTAGGCTCGCCAACATAATCATCATCAGTCCCGACAAGTCTGTTGTGGCGATCATTCTAAACCTGAAGATATATACCTAGTTGTTGTATCCATCTCCTATCGGATCCTCCAAACGGCTTCCTCTTAAGCAGGCTAGTAATTTCTTCTTTGGTCAGAAGTAATGCATCGCCGGGTATCCGTTGGTGATAACCAAATTGGCGAAATACCCTACTGGGTTTGAGTGGCGCAACGACATCACCGCAGAGGAGCCATGTCTGAGATCCTAGATGCCTTGTCCCTCAAGACAAACCCTGGCAGTACGACCTAGAAGAGTCGTGTACGGCATCCATACAAACTGCTGTGGTAATACAGTAAGAGATAGGAAATTAAAAGTCCGGCACTATTTAAAAAATTTAAAGAATATGTTACAGTAATTGAAATGAATACTAACATCTGACTCTGCGAGAACTGCAAGCTGATCCCGGTAGGCAGCCAAATTGAACCGTGTGATACTTTAAACTTTTTTCTTACGGGACCACCTGCACGGAAAAACTAACATTAAATTGAGACATGACAGTACAAATCACAATGTAAACATTTGCGGAGGTTTGATGTGTAAGATTACCTCGTGCCCAATGGACAATGAGAAAGATCGAGCTCCTCACCCAGTATCTTTAGCTGAACCGTCAAAATCCGCTCCCAGGCCCAGATCTGATTCAGAATTTATGGATCATTAACTAATATCACAAATAATTATGGGACAATATAAAATGAAAAGAGAGGAAAATGAAAAGATAAAATATCTGAAGAATAATCACATAGCCGGTAATAGCCTTTGCGGAAGCGGCCAGAAATGACTTGGACATGCTGCGGTACAAGTAACATAGTGCCGCGCTACCCCAACTGTACTCCGAGCATATCTCGGGAGTATGCAGAAAATGCACAAGATCGAGTGGAAAACTGTTTCTCGTAGTGTTAGAGAACAGTAATCCGCCAACTAGCCATCCAACAAAACAACGGGCTCGCTGTAAGTGTGCCTCGTTGGGGGACTGGTCTGTCAAAGGATTGTTCTCTATGTTAGTCTTTATTTCAGTGATGGAAACACTAGTCAATTTGGACTCCTCTGTCTGGAACCTGAATCCAAACATTCTCTCCAAATAGGCAGCCCAACCACCTTCAGGCGTGGTATGATGTCCTGTAACCGGACGTCCATCAACCTGAAGTCCCAAAAGAACCTCAAAGTCCTACAGTGTGATAGTAGCCTCCCCAAAAGGTAAATGAAAAGTATGGGTCTCAGGGCGCCACCGCTCCACAAGAGCTGTAAGCAGGGCATGGTCACATCTTATGGACCCAATTCTAGAAAACGGTCCAAAATCAAATTTCTCAATGTATTCATTTGTCATCGTCGGTGCATCTTTTATATATTTCCACGCTGCGCTATCTATGCGCCTGGGTTCTGAAATCCCTATATCATACTGTACACCATGGAATATATTATGTGACCTGTGGGCGTTTTGGAGGTACAACAAACTATTGTCTCTAGGTCCCTGCCATAGCTTTTTTGAGGTAGATTGGGAGGAAGAAAATCATCCAATCTCCATGGCTATAACAATTTATAAACAATTTTAGTAAGTACGGATTAATATCTATCAATATTTATTATCCTATTTTGGAATGTAATTATCTATATATATTAAAAAATCTGACCCTAAATTTTAATAAGTACAGATTAATATTTATCAATATATATTATCCTAAAATTTAATTTAATTATCTATATATATTAAAAAATCTGACCCTAAATTTGAGTAAGTCAAATTAATATTTATCAATATTTATTATCCTAAAATTTAATTTAATTATCTATATATATTAAAAAATCCAACCCTAAATTTTAGTAAGTACGGATTAATATTTATCAATATTTATTATCCTATTTTTTAATATAATTATCTATATATACTAAAATCTGACCCTAAATTTTAGTAAGTACGGATTAATATTTATCAATATTTATTATCCTAAAATTTAATTAATTATCTGTATATATTAAAAAATCTGACCCTAAATTTTAGTAAGTACAGATTAATATTTATCAATATTTATTATCCTATTTCTTAATATAATTATCTATATTTATTAAAAAATCCAACCCTAAATTTTAGTAAGTAGATTAATATTTATTAATATTTATTATCCTAAAATTTAATTTAATTATCTATATATATTAAAAAATCTGACCCTAAATTTTAGTAAGTACGGGTTAATATTTATCAATATTTATTATCTTATTTTTTAATATAATTATCTATATATATTAAAAAATTCGACCCTAAATTTTAGTAAGTACGGATTAATATTTATCAATATATATTATCCTAAAATTTAATTTAATTACCTATATATATTAAAAAATCCAACCCTAAATTTTAATTTAATGGCTTAATTTTATTATCCCTAATTTTTATTTTGAAAAAACCCTCTAAACCCACCCCTCTTATACCCAATACCAATACCCAACCTTATAAACCTAACGCTAAATTGTCTAAAATTAAAAAATAAATTTAATTAAAATTTATAGCTTTTCGCTTTTTTAAAATGCGAAAGTTCTATTCGCGTTTCTGAAACGCAAAATACAATATTCGTGTGTTTAAAGATACCGGCCTCAAGCACGCCTCGCACGGTCTTAGTCCCTCCTCCGATCCTTATACGATTGTCAACGTTTTGAAATTTAAAATTAAATGTGGTCTTTTGTTGTGTTAAGGCGGGAAGGAGTATATATTTTTTCCAAAGGTGTACGGGTTTACTAATTTAGTGGAGAAAGTATAGTTTAATTGTTGCCGGCTTGCCCCCCTTCTTTGAGGTTTAAATTTTTTGTTAATGGCTATTTCAAAAAATTTAAGAGAATGTAATAGATAGTTAGTTTATATATCACCTTTGTGGAAATGTAAAATGTACCTAAAATTATATCATACAAAGGCCCGAGTTTTAGATCACATATGATCGTCAAATAGAAAATTAACTATTTTAAGCGATTCAAATAATTTTTTTTTGTTACAATAAAGAGAGGTTCAAGTGTTTCGATTTAAGCAAAAATGCTATGGGAATACGCAAACACCCAATGGTAACAAATAATCTTGAAGACGAGCAGAGATCGAGTTTATGACTAACGAA